CTACTGCTCACCCCACTGCCATTCCTACTGCCCATTTATAAACTCTCTTAAAGACATTCCAATATCACAAAAGCCTTATACACTCTTCATAAATACCCCAGTTCAATCAGAAGTCTGAAAATCATAACCTTTACTCCGTAGTAGCCTCAGCAGTACTCTGGGAGATACCCTACTGCTTAGTCCACTGCTTACCCAACTGCCAAGGCAACTGCCTTTCTAGATAAGTTTAAATCTCTCTCAAATGCTCTCTTTGAATTACTTAGACATCATGAGATTTATCTGACCGCCCTCCAAACTTCCTTATTCACTTACTTTAAATAGAAAGTTGTTATTCATAGAGGTTAAGACTTCTGTTGTGCATCTTTAATCTCCCAAAAGGTTATAGATCATCATATCCAGTAGGGAAAGTTTTTAAAGTTGAAAAAGCTTTAAAAGTTTATTCACCCCCTCTAGACTTTTACCTCTATCAGGGACCATCAGTACATATTCGGGACACCCCTGTGTTTGATGATTACTTCGTCCTGAACCAAAGCGTGCGACCCTATCAATGATTATTTGGCACGGGAATCGAAACGTTTTGCTTACCGTAGGATATACCGGTTATGTCCCGCCACGCGTTTGATTCTGATTGGCGAGGTTCTGCGGCGTTAATTATAAATGCCCACCCCCATACGGGCCACTCATTTACTTCCTCTCTAGTCCTTACTCTGTGCATTTTACTTTCTCTCTAGATCTCTTACACACTCTGTAAGTTTCCAACTCTTTAGACTCCGTTCGTCGTCATATCATGTCTTCTAGAGCCGGACCCTCGGCTTCTTCAAAGCCCGAATCTCTTTCTATAAACCCAAGTGCCCGGGGCAGTTCGTCATCCGCAGAAGACCGGATGGATGATGGATGCCTCTCTGGTGACGACATGGAGTACTACGAGCGGGGAATGCCACCTCGACCACCTCATTACTCCTTAAATTTTCACAACATTCGGCGTCAGTGCCAATGCCTACTCCCGCGGGACAAACGGATGATCAGTGAGTGGTTTTACCCTCTGTGGGTCTACGATGATCGTCGACTGCATAATCCCATGCGCCATCTGCCATGTGGTGGTGCATCAAGGCTCGGTTATCGCGGGTCTGTTCTTCCCCTTGCACTCCTTCCATATGGAGCTCTTTAGGGATTTAAAGATTACCCCGGCACAGCTCGCCCATGTGTCTTATTGGATTATAGCAGGCTTCATCATCCGATGCCATAGTGTGGGTGTAGTTCCTTATGTGGACTTGTTCCATTATTTCTTCAGGGTGGACCCGTTTAGACGCACGAGATACCTGAGCCTGACCGCTCGTCCCTCGAAGGTCCTTTTTTCTAACAACGAACCGAATCTGGGCGGCTAGGAGGAATGATTCTTCCTTGGCAGGGTGGGCTCCCCGATGCACTTCTCCGATAGGTGGAAACCATATCCGGTGAAGTTTGCCCCCCCCCCCCCCCCCCCCCGCCAATGACGGACGAGGAGATGGGGCATGCCGACCGCATAGCCAGTCTTGACGTCCAAACCTTATGCTTCTCGTCACAGAGCCCTATACGACCCGAGCTAGGCTAGGTGCGTCCGTGTATACTTGGCGTTTTTCCTTCCTAACTTTGTATTAGTGATTCTGACCGTCTTCTCTTTTCTTGCAGGTGTTTACGCTAATCTCCCCCGTCATGGGTCGCTCCAACAATATTCCCCCGATCCTTGGCCGCCAGGAGACCCAGAAGAATTTGGTGGTCCCCAAAGAAAAGCGTCGAGTGACTCAGTCGTGGTCGGAGGCTGGCTCGGGGGCTAAACCCTCGTCCAAGAAGCCTCGTCATGAGGAAAATGCTTTTTGGGCCATCGTAGTTGTAGATGAGTCGACGAGGAACCTGGTAGTTCCCTGAAGCGGAAGTCGTCTTCCCATACTAAGCCACCCCCATCTCCTCCAAGGAATTCAGACGTCCGTAAGCTCATAGATGAGGACGTTCGTGATGCTCATGCCTCCACATCCCAGCCCCTGAACTTCAAGGATAAGGACGCTCGCGGTGCTTGTTCTCACGGTGCCCACGCTTCCTCGACCCCGAGGATAAATGATCTCTCCTTGGGGCTTATCGAATTTTCTGGTGTCGGCCTCGTAAGGAGTCGATGATGTTCTTCGGTCACACTGCCTTCTCCATCTGGTGCAGCCTTAATGTGACAACCCGAAAATTCAAATAAAATAAAATAAATATTTTTGGGTTACAAAAAGCGACATTTTAAGGTTGACCAGATAAAATTTTAACAAATGACATAATTGAGCAGATCTGGGTTAATAGTATGTACCATGTATAAAAAAAAATTATGTACCATGTGTAAAAATTATACGATTGCATAATTGAGCATTAGGTGTAATAGTATTAACCATTATAGTACTGTGTAAATCTATACTACTATATATACTATACGTATATGCTGGCCCACATGTACAAAAAATTTAAACATGGTATAATGTGAATAAAATAAGATTAATAGGTTGTGGCGACCTTTCGTACTCCTGCCATATCTCACACGCAAACTTTACATGTAAGCTACAATTGATTTTTCCGTAAAACTTATACTACGTACATGAAACCGCAGCAGTGTAACACCGTCCCCAAGTATACTTACTTTTGTGTAAATTATGTATTGAACCTTATGCAATGGTTAATGAATTTACGAGGTTGTAAATTTTTGTTAATTCTTTTGCGTAAATAGTAAAGTGCACGTGGGGCCCACACGGGAGCGGGGACCACCCGATATTACCGAGACCGCATATTTTATTCATCTTGGTATAGATAATAGTTATATGGTGGTGGACATTTACTTTGGGCCATAAGAAAGGCATTGGGTTGACCGATTGGTCAAACAAGGCCCAATTACCGGTTTTGGGTAATTTATCGGATAACAGTCCGAAATGAATTTCGGGGACTTCCAAATTAAAGTTGGGGAATGTATAATCATCCAAAAGGCCCATTATGATGGGGAGTAAGTGTTATATTTTATTCGACCCAATAAAATAAAAATATAATTAAAACAGTCCGAGAAATACAACTTTCGGGACCGATTGTACACTTCGGGACATAATGGGATGACCTCCAACATGAGTGGGGGCCACCCCACGTTTTTGAGAGCTCTTGGTTGACAAGGGGAGCTGCATAACATGGGTTGAGAGGTGTGTGTGGGCTGAGAGTGATGGTTGGGTGAGAGTTGACCCAAGGTGGACCTCCCCCCTCACTTATTTTCCATTTGAGACAAAAGGAGTCTCCTCACCCCTCCCCCCTATGTTTTGTGCGTCCAAGCCACCCCCAATCAAGGAGGAGAGCTCTGCAAACTTTCATCTCCATAGCCAAGAGAGCTCAAGGAAGCAAGGAGCTCAAGGAAGAAGAAAAAGGTTGCAAAAGTAGAGAAAAACCTTGAGAATAAAGGTGAGAAGCTCCTTAACAACTTTTCTTCCATCTTTTGATTTCATATGACTTATATATCATATGAAATACCCTTAAGGATGTTCTACATGGTTTTAAGTGTGGAACGAGGGAGTCGGAAGTAGCTCTAAGTCCAAGAACGGACTTAGGAGCCAAAACGACCGGTTAGCCGGAAAATAACCTTTTAAAGGTTGTTTGTAATGATATGGGTTTTGTGATGATAAAACCTTGTTAGGCACTTGTCAAGGGTGATTTAAGAGCCTTCACGAAGTTTAAGAGTCGCCGGAGTTATCGCCGGAGTTCGTCAAAGTTCGCCGGAGTTTGGCCGGAGTTCAACCGAGAAGGGTAGAACTTCATCACGCTCATTCGAGGTGAGTGGACGGCTTAATGTCTTATAACTCTTGGGTTAATTATGAGATTACCTAAGTAAATGTTATATGTGTTCATAATGATGTTTAAAAGATGCTTAAACATGTGATTATCCAAAGTGATTAGACTTATATGTATGACCCATTGATATCATAAATGAAGTATGATATGAAAATGTTTATAAAAACATATATGATGTTTTAAGGGATAAAAGGGGCATAAAATGCTTGGTTATAACTTAATACATGTTGGGATTAAGTTTGACGCAAATCGGGTTTGAAATGGCGAGTCAACGAAAATGTTGACTTGGTTGCCCAGGGGGTAACCGGCGCCGGTTATAGGCAAAACCGGCGCCGGTTATGGATCGGCATGGCCGGTTTAATTAAATTAATTAATAACCGGCGCCGGTTATGTCAAAACCGGCGCCGGTTTGGCACTGTTTTGCCTATATGTTGATTTTAATGCATGAATTGCATGGATGATTATGCTTAGGCCTTAAGACTTGGTTTAGTCTTGATTATTGATTATGATATAGACCTTATCTAGGATGATATGTGGTAAATCATAAGTCGGGTGGAGTACCCAAGGATCGGGCGGTTATCCTCAAAACTCGGTTATAGGGTGGAGTACCCAAGGATCGGGCGGTTATCCTCAAAACTCGGTTATAGGGTGGAGTACCCAAGGATCGGGCGGTTATCCTCAAAACTCGGTCATAGGGTGGAGTACCCAAGGATCGGGCGTGTATCCTCAAAACTCGGTTATATAGGGTGGAGTACCCAAGGATCGGGCGTGTATCCTCAAAACTCGGTTATAGGGTGGAGTACCCAAGGATCGGGCGTGTATCCTCAAAACTCATAAAATATCATTTTGTAATTTAGGACCGGGCGGTGTCCTCATGTTAAGATGATTGAACCAGGAGGAGTTCTATACACTCATAGGTATATGGGTGGGTTGGGGTTTAAGCCAAGGTTACCGGCTATATTATTTCCCAAATAAACAATGACCTACGGGTCGGGTATTTCCAAGTGTATATATATAATGATATGTATTTCATAACTTGGGGGAAAGAACTATATGTATATGTATCACCCTATGTTTGGGTCTTATACTTGAAACGTTAGTTATTCTACATTTAGCCTGCTACTCGCTCGGTACTTGTACTGACCCCTTCGGGGGGCCCACCATTTCAGGTTGAAGCTCAAGCTTGCATTCTCACCTTGCTCGGTGAAGTAATCTAAAGGGAGACGTGGTTCGTGCTTCCTTTACCGTTTTAAACTATAAACTATGCTCATGGATAATTTGTAATAAGTACATTTGTTTTGGGCCTGCGAGTCCACGATTTGGCCATATGTGGCCCCTGATTGAATATTGAATATTTCCGCGATTCGTTCAATCCAAATATGTGATGTTGTTATGTATGTTTACTTACTGAGTATGGTATGAACAATGTTCATGGACGCCTTGTATGATTAAGTCACGTTGACTTGCGAGTGACGTCATTTAGTCATACGGCGGTTGTACACGCGCTTGGACGCGGTCCGGGGCGTGACAAGCAGACACTTCGTGTATGCGAAGTATTTTCATTTCCTTATGTTAACCTGCCATATGCATTTAGCTAACGAAGGAAACAGCGTTATTTAAGTAAAAATTAATGAGGAAGATTTGCAAACGTACGAAACGTGAGATAATATTGAAGGAGTCGTCGTAGTATTTAACGCTCAAAGCCTTAAACCTATCGGATGAGTGATATACACAGTCTAGGTCTCCCTCTTATCAGTATAAATACATAACCATTGACCAACGTTTTCTCCCGTTCAAAGAGCAACAATGATATACACCTATATACGCATATATACATAGAAATCGGACTCTTCGCTGTACCAAAAAATGAGAGATAAAACCATCTCAGACCTTCATCCAGTGAGATGGGAAGAAGACAAGAGAGAGAAGGAGAAAAACGAACGTCAGAAGTCGGAGAAATCTCTCGCCGGAGTTCACCGGGCTAGGTTCCACGCCGGAGGGAGAGTCGTCAAGTTGCGGGACCGAAGTACAAGGCCGTCTTCACGCCGGAAGTCACTGGAGGAGAAACCTACTGGAGCGGTTACTAGACAGAGCGGTTACTAGACGGCGCCTGCGGATCACCGTTGGGCGAGGCTTCCGTTGGCCGGCCAAGAGCATCGACGAAGACGACGCACCACAAGCTCTGTTTCTTTTTCTTTCGTAAGTGCATCGTTGGTTCTGTTTTATAACTTTGGGCTTGGACCTATTAAAAACTAGAGGGACAGTTTAATTAATCAAAAACTAATGAAAGGATTATTATAATAATCAAATGATTAAAGTAAATGGTTCGAACACCGAACAATTGAGTAATAAAATAATACAGGGGAAAATCGGATGATTATAGAATAACGGACTGATTTTGAAATCTTAATAAAAAAGGTGATCTAGAGACCGAGTTAGAAGGCGTGCACCAGGAGCGTCACCAATTTAAGGTAAGTTTCTCTGCAGATCCAAAATGTTTTTCCTCGTATTATATGATTATTATGATATGTGTGATTTTGTTTTGAGTTATAGATTATGCATATGTGATATTTGGAAAAGATATTGAATTAATAGTATTTTGAGAAATGGGAAAGATGCATGTACTTTTGGGGTATTAAATATTTTTGAGACTGTTTAGAGAGATTGAGAAATATTTTGAAGTGTATCTTGATTCAAGATAAAAGGAATGTTTTCATAAGAGGTAGGCACCGCGGGAGTAATCTGAGGTGTTGGTTTTCCACGTCCCTTAAAATGTGGAGGGTGATTAGAGCTGCTACTACTAAGGAGTACAGTTTCAGTTTTGAGTGACATTTGGATCTTTGATCCCTTTTAAGAAGAAGTTGTACTGTTGTAGTAGCAGTAGTCCCTAATCATTCAGAAGTTTTTAAAGGTGGGGTAGTTGGTAGACTGAGTCCCGACTACTCGTGACGACTTACTACTCGGAGGGCTTGGAATCCCTTTTAGGGGGTGTGCACACTTAAGGTAGTCGTTTCGTTTCCATTAAGCAGTTGTGGTACTGGCAAAAGTCCCGGGGTGGCCGTACATAACAACGTAACCACCGGGCTCAACTAAAGTGTTGAGCACCGCCCTTCTAAAAGCTAGTAAGGTACAAAAAGCTATTTTGACAAACCTAATTATTTTACGGGGTTGGGTAGTACTTACTTAGCTCTAAAGCTAATTTTTGCTTCCTTTTCTTTGTTTTGTTTTCTGCACTTTATTTGTGCAGGTGATGATGATTATGTTGACTGGCGATTGCATGATCTTGAGAGCGGTTTAGAGATGCCTTAGTCAAACTTAGTCAGGAATAAACACTTTATTTATATTGAACACTTGTTTTAGTTGTTGTTTTTTTGTTAGCCTGTGCATTCGGTTAAGAGATGACCGGATGTGACGGTAACACTCATTTCCCTATTAAGACTTCCGCTGTAATTTTTAAATGACTTATCAATAAATAAAAGTTTTATTGCAAATATATCAATATTTTGGGTGGGAAATTTGGGGGTGTTACACTTAACCTCAAGGTACCCCAGGACTTTGCTCCTCAGGAAGCTCCCGAGGACCTTCTCGAATGTGGTTAGAGTACCCTTGATAAGTCTGAGGGTTGAATGTGATACCCTGATGAAGAATGCCAGGGGGAAGGTCAGCCAGCTCCAGGAGAAGGCCGATGCTGCTGACAAGCTTGTCCAGAAGAATGATTCCCAGAGAAAGATCATTTAAAAACAAACATCGTAAATTATTTATATGATAATAGAGTGAAGATGATATTCAATGAAAAGATGAATGAAAAAGTGTATATGACCACCCAAATATCACTCAACACACTATATGCGACAAACTTAATGGAACGAATCAACAAGAAAATATGAAATACAACTAGTGGGACAGATGAATTGATTAACTAGTAGTATGCATTAAGATATAAAAAAATACTTCGTATTTTTAGATAATCTTCATATTCATCACCATTATAAAAAGAAAACTGTAACAAAATTATAAAAGCATTATGATGTGTTACAAATATTTATATAAAATATTTTTTCAATGATAATTAGAATTCGTGAAGATAAAAGGTTCAATAATGGTCATACAACAGAGGAGAGCAGGAATAGAAGGTGAAGAGACTGGGGAGCAAGGAGGGCGAGAGTCTACAACTGGATCTAACAACAGTGTTTCTAAAGAAGAAGACATGGAAATCGCTGGGGAGGTGTCGGCGGATCAGAAGTGCAGAAGGATCTGGGAAGAGCAGCTAGAAGAGGACCTTGTGGGCGAGAATATGGCTTTGGATAAAGCAAAAATAGGGAGACGGCGGGTCCGGGGCTCTAGACTCGCCGGTTATGCAAGTGGTTTTTATGATGGTGAAGACAAATTTTGGTTTTTATTTTATTGTTTTTTACATTTTCATTTCCACGTTGAAACTGATGTTTTTTTATTTTATTTTAATTCACGTTGTAAGACTCTTGCATTAGGAATGAGTGATGATAGGTCTGCAGTAATTATCGTTGGCTCAATTATGCCCAAGTTAGGATCAGCTAATTATATTGCTTTGTCAAAGCTTCAAAGGTTATTTACTCTGAGTCTGGTTCAAGGGCGGACGATTACATGTGGTTCTTTTGTTATTTCAAATTCTATCTGAATGCTGTTTTATCAATCTAAGCCCCCCTCTTAGAAAATGATAATTAGAATTCGTAATCCTGATTATATAGAGATTTTGAGTATATTTTAAAGATAATCTTTTTTAAAAAACAAAGTTATAACAAAATTCAAGGAAATATAAAAACCATTTTTTTTTCAGTTTCAAACCAAGCCAAATTTTATCACACTAGTATGTGTACCCGTGCGCCGCACGGGAAAAAACGTGTGAAAGTTTTGACTATAAAAAAAGATATAGTAGGGGAATGAAATTGTATGCGAAGTAATTATTGACAATCGAATTTTATTTAGTCAATTTTACTAATATACATAGGGTGTGGATCAAATAAAAACAACTCTTCCAGTGAAAACTGCAAACCGTTCATTTTTTATCCAATGTGATGCATTTTAAATGTGGTTTGTCGCAAGTTGTTTGCATTTGTAGATAATTAAGACTTATTTACCAAAATGCCACAACATTACACAGAGTATTTGTTTGGTTTCGTTCGACCAAAGTTTCAAGGTGAAATGGACCACCCATAAAGTGCATTTCATTGGGCAACATATGAAAAAATTGCAGTTTTCACGTTAAGAGTGTTTTTATTTGATTTAATCCTATATCATCAAAAAACTTTTGTAATTGTTTTCAATATTTGAAGTGCCGTTGGAATCGTTGTTTACTTCAACTTTATTTTATTACTAGACGTAGTACCCGTGCGATGCACGGGGTGTATCTAGATAGAATAAAAATTCATTTGAAATTATACGGTGTGTGAAGTATTTTTTACGATGGTACATGATGTTTATTTTTGTCAGATAAAAAAAAAACAATAGAGTTATATGTTCTATCTTTGATGATGTAACAACACCGGCCTAGAAAATAAAAATTTGGTTTGAACTAAAAATTGCAAATAAATAAAAATTAAAATTCCATGTGATAATAGAATTAATAAATGATGACACTTCATCTTTGAGGCCTCCCAGAACTGATAATGGAATTAATGATATTATAATTATTAGTATCTCTCATTAAACTATAAACAGATGAACCATAAATGTTTATAGGGGGTGTTTAGATCTACTTCTTAAAATTGTTTTTGTTCTCTGAGGGTGCAGAAACTGATATTGAAGTATTTGGAAGAAACGATAGAAGTACTTAGCTTTTAAGGATGTTTACTTTTGGACTTAAATTTGCTGGTCTAGTCTGATCTGGTCTAGTCTGGTCTGGTAAATGTCTGGTCTCTGTGTACTTTATAACTACGGAATTCTGGTCTGGTCTGATCTGGTCTAGGACTGAAAACAGTCCAAAAGAATACATCCTAAATGGTCCAAATTACTCCTAAAAACAATTTTTTAGAAGTTTGAGAAAAAAACTTTTGAAAAACAGAATCGTCTTGTTTTAGAAAAGAAGTAGAAACATAATCAATTTCAAATACATACAAAAGTATCATAAAGTCTATGAACTGATTTATAGACCACATTATTAGTGGTATTGATAACACACTCTCGTCATCGATCACATAGTTAAGTCTTCAACCACTTCATGACCCTTAAAATGGCAATGTGTGATTGACTTTGTGTAAAGACATACTCTGGAAGATATATGGTCAATTGATGCAGAGATTGTCCTTCTTTATAGACCACATTATATTAGTGGTATTGTTGTTTTTGTTGTTATTGTTGCATAATTCTATCAAAGAATGCTCTATTTGTTATGGACATTATTAAAAATAGCTTGTTATA